TCTCTCTATAACTTTTATCATGAATACCGGTTGCCATTTTGTTAAAGACTTTTGCTACATCTTTTGAGATAATCATCTGATTTTTGTTTTAAAGTCCAATAATTTGATTTATTGCCTTTATTTACTTGAATATGTTAAACCATTTCTGCATCTCCAGAATAAGGGAACTTGATCATGTTTGATAATCTATTGGTATATGCCTGTATTCAGTTTACTGATGTATGGAGAATTTTTTTAATTAGGGATATTGGCCTGTAGTCTTTTTTTTTTGTTGTTGTATCTTTACCTGGATTTAGTATTAAACTGAAACTGGCTTCATAGAAGAAATTTGAAAGTGCTTCTAATGTCTCAAATTTTTGATTAATTTAAGGAGTATTTACTATAGGTCTTTTTTACAAGTTTGATAAAATTCTAGGAATCAGATGGAGATCTGGGCCTGGGCTAATTTTAGCTGGAAGGCTTTTGATTTATTGTTTCAGTCTTGTTTATTATTGGTGTGCTTATGTTGAAAACTTTGTAATTTAGCTTTGATATTTTGGATGAATATATCTAGAAATTCTTTAATTTTCTTTAGATTTTTCCAGCTTATTGAAGTATAGATTTTTAAGATATTGCCTTTATAATAGTCTAAAAATTTGGTTCCTGTTTTAGTGTTTCTCTATTTAATTCTGTTTCTATTCACTTGGGTCATTGCTTTCTTTCTTTTGGTTAGTTGGGCCAATTCTGTTAATTTTTAAAAATCTTTTCAAAGAGCCATCTCTTAGACTCGTTGACTTTTTTTGTCTCCTTTGTTTCGACTACATTCATTTCTAGCCTAATTTTATCATTTCTTGACACCTACTGGTTTTGAGTTTTGTTTGTTCTTGTCTTTTGATTGGAGAACTGGGGTTATTAATATTTATAATTATTATTGACAAGTATGTGTTTATTAAGGCCATCTTCTTCTCTTGTAGTTTGTTCTCTTGTGTTTCCAGTCCTACTTTGTGTTTCAGTAATGGTAGCTTCATTTGTTTTCTTTTTAGAATCTCACATTATCTATGCTCATCCCTTTCTTCAACCTAAAGTATACATTTTACTAATTATTATTAGGATTGCTGTTGGATATGAATTCTTTTGGCCTATTTGAGTAATGGAGAATTTGTCATGCCCCTTCAACCGGGGCAGAGAGTTTTGATGGTACATTAGTCTACGTTGGCATCTGTGGTCTCTGGGAAATTGGGGTGCTATTGTTCCAGAATCTTCTGCCTTTCAAAGTGTCTACTGAGAAATCAGCTGTTATTCCAATGGGTTTTCCTTTCCATGTCGCTTGTAACTTTTCTCTTGCAACTTCAACACTCTTTCTTTGTTCTGTATATTTATTGTCTTAATTATGATATGCTCTCGATAGTTCTTTTTCTAATATTGTCCATTTGGTGCTCTGTGTGCTTCCTGTCCGAATGGGTATGCATTAGCTTAGTTTGGAAGAACTTTTTCTGTAATGTTCAAAATCTGGTATATGCTATTAGCCTGGTATTCTCCTTTTTCTATGATTATGATTCAAATATTTGGTCTTTCATAGAGTTCCATAGTTCCTACATGTTCCTTTTATGTGATTTGTAACTTTTTTTTATGTTTTTGCTTTTGTTGTCTAATTTTTCTATTTTCAGCTGAAACTAAATATGAATGTCCTGTATTCTAGCTTCTAGCTGATCCATTTTACTTGTAAGGCTTTCTTCTGAGTTTCCTACTGGAGTAATTCATCTTCATTTAAGCTTGGGATTCCTTCATTATTTCTAGCCCTTTACTGAATATATTTTTCAAATCTTGGATTGTCTTTGTCATATCATTCAGCCTTGTGGTAGTTTCAATAGGATTGGCCCCCATAGGCTCATATAATTGGATGCTTAGTCATCAGAAGGTGGCACTATTTGAGAAGAATTAGGAAGTGTGGCCTTGTTTGAGAAAGTGTGGCCTTGGGGTGTGCTGTGAGATTTCAAATGCCTAAGCCATGCCCAGTCTTTCTCTCTCTCTCTCTCTCTCTCTTTTTCTCCTTTCCCTCTCTGCCTCTCTGTCTTTCTCTTCTTGTAGATAAAAATGTAGCTCTCAACTACTTCTCCAATACCAAGCTTGCAATGGTCTTCACAATGATGATAATGAATTAAGCTTTTAAAACTATAATCAAACTCTTGATTAAATGTTTTTTTTTCTATAAAAATTGAGCGGTGTCTCTTCACAGCACTAGAATAGTGACTAAAGCAAGGCTTCTATTGGTGTTTTCTTGGACATCACTTAGATTTTTATTCTCTTTAAATCTATTCACTGTTTGTTTGTGCCTCTTTTAACTCCTTTAGTTTTTTGATGAAATTTGTGTTTATTTGTTTTTCTGTTTGTTTGCTTTTAAGTTTGGTATCCTGAGTTCCATTCAGGTGATTTTTGTTGAAGGACATTTATATAGGACTGATATGCTTTTCCTGGGGGTGCAGAAAGGAAAAAAACATATTATCTTATCTTTTATATTGTTTGTAGTTTTGTGATAAGACTTGGCAACTTAACGTCTTTCCTTTGTTCTGTGTCTGATGTGGAACTATGTCAGGAAGACACAAGAGCTAGGCTGACATGAAAGATGTACATCCCAGCCTAAGCATGGAGGTTGGAGATGGTCCAGCTGGGGTCAACTGATTCCTTCTTTCTTTTTTAATGTAGCTAATACAAAAATTTCAAATTATATATACAGCCTACATTCTATTTCTGCAGACAGCACTCTAACAAGTCCTGGAGATGAAACTAAATGCTATTACCTGTCTCAAGGTTTAAAGACAAAGATATCACATTGTAGCAACTCAGAAGAAGGAAGTAGGCGAGTCACATGAAGCCCTGTAGTATAAGGACATAAGAAGGATACTGCAGAAGAAAGTCCTCCTCCATTTATTTTCAGGACTCTCTACTTAGTAATGTCTGTGTTCTACATACCCATGCCTAAGTGTTACAGGCTCAGTATAACTGTTGGGAAGGGGAGCAAGGGTGACTTGAGCATGATAGGAAATTGGGAATGAGGGACTGAGAAAAGATGGACAGAATGAGAAGGTACAGACAGGGGGGAAAGATAGTAGCCAGAAGATAGCAGTCCATTCTGAAGAAGTAGAGAAGGAAATCTCATGAGTTGTCTTCCCAAAGATGATTCACACTGCTGGCTGAGTGTGCAAGTCCTCTGTGACTGCACCCTACAGGACCTGGAAATTCCCTCCCTTTAATCACGAACAGCTTAAAGCTAGAAAGGCAGTAGGCCACCTACTACAGAACTCCCAAAGTGCTCAGCAAGGCAGTGCTGTCTACTAGCATCAGCACTGGCCAGCTATGGCAATAACTCCCTATTTCAGAAATGGGCCACAGACCACAGCAGAGATAAGATGAGGCATCACAGTGAAACTTGCCTTTCTGTCTGTGCTGAATAAAGTAGAGGGAATCTGAATTTCAATATGACACACTTCAGGGGATATGTACAGAACTGTTCTGCCCAAGAAAAGACTAAAATCTTTAACTTTTCCCTAACATTATAAGATATTCTTTTCAGTATGAAAAGTTTTTTAATTCGTCTGCTGTCGTGTGTCATGCAGAGCAAGAATGCAGAATAGTTTTCAGATGACAGAAAAGATCATTGTTCCTATGCCTTTCAGAAGACAGAAGGAAAGTGACAATTCAAAGGTAAACATTCGTTAGTTAAGAGAAACAAAGGGCAATGGTACACATGTGCTGATAGCACCTTCTCCACTTGGTGAGCGCTCTGTTGCAAAGTTAGAAAATCAAAAGGCTAATAAACATCAGCCATGATGTAATGCATTTAATTTAAAGAACAATGATACTTTTTTTTATTCTGAGCTATTTTGAGCTTTGTACATGGTTCAAACTCAAATGATCAAGTTCCTTTTTTAATGTGCACTCCATACACGAACTCCCACGAACTATTAAAAATCCCCCATTGCAGAATTGTGTGTTTATGAGACACATTGATAAAAAAAATTGGAGCGATTGGTAGAAGTGCTATTGTGGACTTTCTGTTAAATCTTGGAGTTGTTGCATTCCTAGCAGAAATCACCTGGGAGAGAAACGTGAGCTTTTTGCTCAGAGTCAGACTGCAACTCCACAGCTTGTCTCTGACCCCTATTGTTGAAAAACTGAACTTAGTCACGTATCCCGAAGTTGAGGAACTAAAGACATTGATGCATGAATGTGAGTATATTTGAATAATATTCATTGACTCTTGGGAAATATACTCTTTCTGTTAGGGAGAAATGGGAGGGAAAGGAAGAGGGAGAGACAGGCAACCCTCCCCCTTTTATTCTTTGTCTTCTATGAGATGTCAGTGCCATAGCTGAGTCTCGGCAGTGTTCTCTATGACAATACCTTATCTAGTTTCTATTTTTACAATTCTACTCTGCCTCTGAAACTTGGCTAGATGTTTTCCTCTGTAAGAATGCTCCTCTTACTTCTCTACTTCTCGATGTCTGTGAAAAGCAAAACTTTTGACAAAGTTAAATTAACCTTTTAAAATTAATAATTAAAATTATTAAAAGTAAAACTTAACATTTTTTTAATGATCATTGTATAATATCAATCACTGCTTCCAAATGTGGTGGAGGACAAAATCATTGAAACAACAAGAAAATCTTCTAAGACAAATAATTTTTCCAGCCACTGTATAACATTATATACACTGTATAACCATCTGCACTTAATAACTATGACCTTTATCTGTAGATATCTGAGACTTGTTAGGTAGCTATTTTTAAAATCATGTTTTAATCTCCATTTGAACTGAATCCATTGATTATAAGAAAAAAATATCAAAATTGTATAAAATGCTCTAGATTTTTAAAAAAAGAATAGCAATAGGTTTCCAGAATAAACTAATATGTAAAGATTACATAGATTTTATTTTGCTTACATAGTACCTGTTAAATATAAACAAGGGTTTTTTTTCAAAGCATGATTGAATGTGAAAATGTACATTTCTACTTTCTTACCCTAAACTTAAATCACAGACCAGTAAACCAATTTCTTCCTGAAAGTCTTCACCTGGATCTGCTGCTGTTTCTTTGTAAGCATGGATTTCCTGAAGGTCTGTTCTCAGCTCGGTTCCCACTATCTACTGGATCACTGCCCTCTGCTTCTACAAGAAGTTCTAGACAGAACTTACAAGTTGATGAGGGAATGGAATAGGTAGTCAATTGTCTACTCCCATTCTGATGTCATGACCCACTGAAAAGTAAAGAGCTCATAACCAAGAGTTTCAAACCAGCTTAATTTTAATAAAAAATAATTAAACAACATGGCTTTAAATCTGTCCAGATGTGTTTGCAGATGTTCCCAGGGTCAATTATACCATCTGCAGAAGCTTACATTTTAAAGATTTGATTTCCAGAGAATCTTTGCTTCATAAAGGTCTCAGCCCGAGGAGAGAGATGGAAAGGACCCATCTCCAGAATGTCCAGTTTTAAATTAGTCCTATCCAAAAATAGAAATGTGAACAAAGAATGACATACATTTGTCAATCACTAATTAGCAATTCATTCCTTACCAAAGCATGGGAGTTTTGAGAAGACAGGTCATGCAGAGCAAAATGAGCTCTGGACAGAGAAACTGGAGCCCAGAAGAACTGTCTCTTTCATAAAATTAACATGTCGTAACAAAATAACAAACAGGACTTTAATCTTCCTAAGGGAAGGGTGCAGATGTCGCCATGAATGAAATAAACTTAAAAGGGTATTGGCTGTAATTTTAAAAGCTGGTGGCTAAGATTCTAGACTGGCTGTTAATTGTCATTTTCCTAATTCTCTAACAAATGAAAGTAATTTCCATAGTATCCAAATTTATTGTTTAAAACAGCAAGGAACGACCTGCTTCGAACCAAGTGTAATTGCAGTGTAAGTGTTGACTGCGGTAGAAGTGGGCGCGTGATATGGAACTCCCCAGAAGACTCCTAGTGAGACTGGACACGTCTCCAGTTTCAACCCTTGCTTCATTTTCCATTACTTGTACCTGGATGTGATCTTGATAGCCATGCACAATACCACACACACATACACACACACACACACACACACACACACAATACAACACAACATGCACACAATGTGAGTATGGTGACACATACTCACACAGAGAGAGACACAGTCAAATAGTTACCATTTCTGGTTTAAAGCTATGTAGCTTAGGGTAAATGCAATATATATATATATATATATATATTAATATTGCAATTAAATCAGGAAGGAATACTTGGGAGAAAGTTCTTTACGTTCAATAGATTTTATTTAAATGGGATGAGTAATGATCAATACCCAGCACATAATGTCAAGGGATGAAGAGTACCATATTTCATTTAGCAGGTTACTAGACGTCACTACCAAGAGGACTAAAGTTAATGAAAACCCATGAGCAGGTTGCACATACTTAGAACAGAGAAAGGGCAATTCACAAATTAGTTAGGGGAGACCATGAGAGAAACAGTAAGGGTCAGTTTATGAAAGAGACATGGTTTTGACAGCTGACAAGGATTAAGAAAAAGAGCAAAGAGAATCAAAGGGTTCTTAAAAGATGGGGAAACATTTTCTTTTAAATGAAGTGAAAGTTACTTAGTCATGTACTAAACAAATTAAGAAACATTTTTGTTTGATTTTGATTTGTTTACTGAAAACAGAATTACAGAATTGGTAGTTTGAGAATGTGGTGTTCTTCAAAAGATAGAAGTTGCAGAGGAAGAGTTTAAAATTGCATGACAAAGCTACTGTGTAAAGCTGATCCCCTTGAGATCTGGGATTTGAGCACAGAAATTGATAAATCGTTAACTGTTCTGGTGCAGCATGGGCATAAAGCTATCCCGTCATCATCAAAAGCAGATCACATGCGTGTGAAAACAAAGAGTGCTTTGCAAGATTCACAGTGTGCAAACTAATTTAAATACTCAGAATCACAGGACACTGAGCACACAGGAGCCCCAACTTAGGTTTTCTCTGTAGCTACTCAGACTTCTTACTCTGTGAGCAATGTGTGTGTGTGTGTGTGTGTGTGTGTGTGTGTGTGTGTGTGTGTGT